ACAAGTATTTTATTACATTTACCTATGACCAACACCAAAAGATCTCTACCAAAAACTGACTGACAGGTAATGAATTTGATGAGTGGCATTTTGAAGGATGTGGTTAATTACTGAAATTAGAACTTGCAGATATTGTCTCTGATTGTTAAGGATGTTTTCCTTCATGTTTTAGTGCTGTAAAGTTTACCCAAAGCTGAGTAAAACTCTGCCACCTATGGATCTCTTCCCACTGCATTCTGACATCAATAAATTTGCATACGCCGTATGTATTTTAACTATGAAAGAGTAGGGGCTGCAAAACAGTTTGTCAGAAGCTGGTATTTACACACTCCACCAAAAAATAAAAATAAAATTAAAAAAATCAGCAAAATCAAATCACACACTACATCCAGACCACCTGAGAATCAGCCTGTCAGCTCGAAGTGGAGCAGGAAGTACAATGCAAACTTCAACCACTGTTTTCAATGGGACCCTTTCCCAAAAACGATCTGTCTCCCAAGAAGTCTCTGGAAGATGGCTTTGCTCCCCTCACCACATTAGGCACAACAACAAAAGGACACATGCCAGCCTTTTATGAGGCCGCTGGCATGGTCTCCCCCCAGTGAGATCTCGCAACAGGCAACTAATTCAACAAGCAAAGCTCAAATTTAAGATACTGAGCTATTCCAGATGCTAGGAGAGGTTAAACATTTATAATGGAAGCAAAGTCCATCGGGCATAAAAAGCCACCAGCAGCAGAATTTAAAACAAATTTATGCAAGAAACACTTTCCTCACAGGACAAGGTAAACCTCAACTCAGTACATAAATTCCAGCAACAGTCATGAATTGTTTTACTACTGTTGACACAAATGCTCTGCAGTTTTTTCTACCCTTGCAACAGCATGCTACATAGCTTTATGCATGCAGATGCTCAGGCAGCTCATCTAATCCTACCGAGCTCCTCGGAGCCCATTCCTGCTGCCAGGACCTCACAAACACCCATGGGAAGGCTCAGAGCTCCAGGAAACGACAGCCAGCAATGGGCTTCTGCTGCCAAAAAGATCAATTTCTTTTCACTCACACAAACCACCCCTGCAAAACTAACCAATAACAAACCACTCCTGCTTGCTTACTTTCTTTTCAGAAACACCCCAAATTTATTTGTGTGTGTTCAATTTGTGTGTGCAGACCTACACAGCCTTTTGCAGCCAGATGCAATATTGCATTGTTGGTTCCCACCTACTACTGGGCATGAGCCAGCACTGATCTGAAGGCACCATGCTCTCCTTGCCCGCAGGTTGTGTGGTGCAGCAAAGCAAAAACTCCCATTCACAGGCTGGAAGGGAAAAATCTGGGATCAAAAATCAGATCTTCATTTGCCGAATATATTACTGTCCCCAAACCTCACTCTTAATGATCAAATCAGCCAGCCTGGAGCACAAAAGCAGCAACATCATGCAAAACCTCAGGACTTGTCTTGAAAAGAACTAGGCAAGGTACTGCTAATTTTATATCTATGGCACCACCAGAAACTTTATAATGTTCATAGTCCATTTACCTGCATCTAACTTCTGCTTATTTACTCTCCCAAAAATCTAGCAATTTTAAAGCCATGGAGTGCAAAGGTTTATCAAACTAAAGAAAGAGGACCTGAGAGAAAATTAAATTCCTGAGATCTAAAATTGCAAAGTCTAAGATAATTTTTCATCACGGAAATGCACTTAGTCTATTTAAATCTTCTTCTAACAGCACAACAATTTGAAAATAACCTACTGAAAATAGTGTACATTTCTGATACGTGTCTCATTGGCTAACATATAGACTGTACAGACTGATTTTTAATATACTGCCCTATTTCTCTGTGAGAAACCTTAACATCTGTAACTCTCTCCTCCTTTGTATTTACAGAGCTACTGAGCTGTGCTAATCAGGGGCCATCATAGCAACTGATTTATATTAAAAGCAAATAGAGTTCTTTTCCAGCACTTAGTTTTAATTGTACCAGTTGGCACACTAACCTTCTGCGCTACCCAAACTAACAAAACTAAGCGGTATCTCTGCAAGAACTAACACAGAGTACAGTTACTAAGTAACCTTAGGTATGAATTGATATTCTAATAGGGATATTCTGCTTCCCTCTCCCATTCCCCAGCACAGATTTCAATACGTGAAGAGAAATAACCAGGGCAAACCCATCCCACATGACTGCAGGCACAAGGATAAATCTTAGGACGAACTTTTTTCTCAGGAAGAGCAGTGAGGCAGTGGCACAGGCTGCCCAGAGGTGGAGGAGTCAATGTCCCTGAGGGGTTCAAGAAACGTGGAGATGTGGCACAGGGATGTGGACAGAGAGCAGTATTGGTGGTAGGGGGACAGTTGGATTGATGATCTCAGAGGTTCTTTTCCAATCTTCATGATGGTTGATTTTAAGAACGAGATGGCTGCCTGTAAGCAGTTCACCTGAAACAGCTTTGTGAGGGGGCACGGACCTGAACCCCAAACTGCTGATGCACACAGTGGCAGTGACCAGGAAACGCAGGACTGAGGCGCTGAGATACAACCACTCACCCACGTGAGAACAGGCAAGCAAACACGAACAAGCAAACTACACATGGTCCAAAGACTAAAGCGCACAACTTAGTCTTTGAACGCTAGGCTATCTTACCTGAGACTTTCCTCCACTACTGTTTATCACATCAGAAGCGGACCTTTTTGTTACCATCAATCCCGGCCTTTCGCATAATAGTAAGAGAATTTCACCTGCCAATTCCACTCAAAATGCCAACCATCGCCCGGCCGTGAAGCATGCGAGCGAGGCACAGTACAGCAGGCAGACAGCAGGGAGGAACAAGGGGATCCCGGGCGGTGCCCCCCCTCCCATACCTGCAGTTCTGCACCGGGTTTTTGCGGGGCAGCTTCACGGGCAGACACAGCTTCTTCATCCCCTGGGCGCTCAGGGTCAGGTAACCATTTTCACAGCCGGTAGAGATGAGGACGAGACGCGGCTCCTGACGAGCAGTGACCATGTGCCCGTCCTCCTTGACCACGAGCCAAAACCTGAACGATACGGAGCGAGGCTGAACACGCGATGCCCGGCGCGGAGATCCCCGCCGCAGCTCCGCGCAGGGCTGCCCTACCTGTCCCGCATCTCCCCGCTCTGCAGCCCCATCGGCGTCACCCGCGCCCGCTGCACCGCCACCCCCTGGCACGACTTTACGGGGTACACGAACAGGCTGGACACCGTGCCCACCCGCTGCAGCCGGCCCGGGCGGCGGCGGCGCCCCGCGGCTCTCCCTCGGGTCCAGCGCCAGGCCCCGAGCAGGACGCCCAGCGCCGCTACCGCCGCCGCCGCCCACAGCCAGCCCCGCGGCGCCGACAGCACCAGACCCTGCGCCCCCATCATGGCGACCGAGCGCCGCGCGGAGCGGACGGCGCGGGCAGGAAGGCGGGTCGGGGCCGCCCCCTTCCGGTTCGGGGGGCGCAGGGACGGGGACGCGCTGCGCCGTCGGTCTTTCTGAGAATAAGTTTTTTCGAATACCCAACCTGAGCCTTCCCTGGTACAACTTAGGGCCATTATTTCTTGTCCTGTTGCTGCTGCCTGGAAGCAGAGAAACACACTGAGGCCCTGGAGCGTGGCCAGAGAAGGGCAACAAAGCTGTGAGGGGTCCGAAGCTCCAGTCATATTGAAAGCGACTGAAGGAACCGGGATTGTTCACTCCGGAGAAAGGAGGCTCAGGGGAGACCCTGTCCATCTTTACAACTGAAAGGAGGTTGTGGTGAAGAGGTTTGGCCTCTTCTCCTGGGCAGCAGCTACAAGATGAGAGGGAATGGCCTCAAGCTGCGCCAGCAGAGGTTCAGATTGAGTACTGGGAAAAAATGTCTCTGAAAGAGTGGTGACGCAGTGGCACAGGCTGCCCTGGGAGGTGGTGGAGTCACCGCTCCTGGAGGTGTTCAGGAAACATGGGGATGTGGCACTGAGGGCAACAGTCAGTGGGCCACGGTTAGTGGGCATGGTGGGGATGCGTTGATGGTTGGACAAGGTGAACTCAGTGGTCTTTCCAACCTTGATGATTCTGTGAAATAAGGAGCGGTTGGAAGGGGGAGCTTTGCAAAGGTGAGGTATCCCTCCAGGCTGATTTTCTTATCTTGGGATGACTACACAAGACCGGCTGAATTACAACAGGCAAACTTAGTAGGGGAGAGACATCTCATAAACTATGCCTGCGCACCAAGGAGTCATCTTGCTGTCATTTGCACAGGGGGAGAGTGAGACCTCCTGAAGCCCCTCTGAACCACCAACCCATTTCCAGAGTATTGTAAGAATTGAACAGCACTTGCACAGGAATAGGGCCATACTTTGATCACAACATTAGATGGGGCCTGACAACCACCCAAGACCCAGACCCATTTCTGGAACATTATGAATAACTGAGTTTGTACTCAGGGAGAACATAATGCAAAGGCATCATAGCTCATTGCTAATAGGGCATTTCTTATCTAGTACCAATAACCATTTTTCCCAGGCAAACTTGAAGCTTCTCTTTCTTTGAGTAAAAGTGTTAACCGATTGCTTGGTGTCATTTCACCTTAATTTACCTGATAGAATCTTGAACTCTGTGACCTTTGTACACTACCCAGGGCAGTCTGGAGTCAGGTCGTGACAGATGTATGCCTGCAGCTGCTGCTGGGTGCCAGCTAGGTGAGACCCCATGTCAGGGCTTCCTTCTTGTGGGCACCTGATTAGAAAGCCTCATTAATGGCACTCCATGGGGCCTTTGTGCTAGGCAGGTGCAACATCATAATACTGCTTGTGGCTGCTGACATCGTGGAACCTTCTGTCAACTTCCAGGGTCTCTGGTCAGGGCAAAGTTGGAGCCTGCTACATTGGTTCCTCTGGCTTCCCTGCTCAGGCTCACAAACCAACGTTTTTAGGATCAGCTTGCCAAGACTGAGGCAAGACCAAAAAGCAAGGAGGGTCAGTGCTTTGCATTTCTGAGAGATTTATGCAGCCCTGCCACTATGAACTGCTGGAAGTATTACATTGACTGCATCCTGAGTGACAGGAACATTGATGATGTGGCCATTGTGGGCCTCTCTGACAACAAGTGCGTGTGGGCAACCAAGCCAGGAGGGCTGCTGTCAGCTGTCTCACCTTATGAAGTGGACTTGATCACAGGCCAGGATAGGAAAACGTTCCTGATGACTGGAATCACCATCGCAGGGAAGAAATGCAGTGTGATTCGTGACAGCCTGCTGGTAGAAGGAGACAACGTGATGGATGTCAGAAGCAAAGGTGGTGACAGCAGATCCATCTGTATAGGCAGGACCCCCAAAGCTCTGATCTTCCTCATGGGCAACAGAGGAGTCCATGGAGGAGTCCTCAATCAGAAGATCCATGACATGATTGTTGGCATGACACTATGAGGCAACTGGCACCAGAGAGACAGAAATCTTCCATCAGAATATGGTGGCATTGTCATAGCTTTCGCAGAGAAAGGAAATAAGCCTGGTTTTCTTGCATATGCCTTTGCCTACTTCTTTCAGGTAGGGGGATGTTAGGAGAGCAGCAGTACGGGGACATTCACTCTGCCTGAGAAGCTTCAGTGCAGGAGTGCCGCTTCCCCATCCCCATCATCTTCAAATCGTTAAATATAATTTAATGAATCTAAAATAATGACTCGTGAAGAAGTTGATAAAGCTGCCCCAGACATGAAAAGAGAGCCAGCCCTGCTGAAGACAGAGTGAATTTGCATGCCCCTTGATAGCCATTCATCTTCTAATTTAACACAGAGTCAATATTTGGTAGTTTAATTAAACTCACAGAGAAATCTTTAATCTGCAGCCACACCTACAAAGAGCAGTAAAATGCTGTAAAGAAACCAGGCATCTGATGTATTAGCAAATGTTCGACAACACTAATGACTGTCTAATTTGTAAACACTTGTCCTGTGAACAGTACGTACAAGCATGAATCAAAACAAATTAACAGAAGTAATGAGGGGAAAAAAAAACAAAACCAGAAAAACACAAACCAGGTTAGGATCTAACAATAAAAAGCAATGCATGAAATGAAATGAATGGTAGGAAAAAATACATTAATATTTATTCTGGCTACAAGTTTCTCAAAACATGATGCCATTCCTAACAGATACTGACATTTATTTTCACAAGCTTAAGGCAAAATGAGTAAATATCTCCTGTGATGTTGTGAGCACTGGTAGCATTCTCCTCTGTGCATATCACAAAACACAGAATGCTTTTGTCCCATGAACTTCAGTCTAAGAGGCATTCAGAGTGACAGGATTCGGAATAACAGAAAATACTTTCGCATGATTTTTTTGATTGCTCCCTTCTTTGGTGCCAGAGAGAACAGATCTGAAGTGTATGTGTGCTCCCAAAAAACAGTGACAGGATGACAGGGATGGCCCCAAGTTGCACCAGGGGAGGTTCAAGTTGGATATTAGGAAAAACTCAGAAAGAGTGGTTGGGCACTGGCACAGGCTGCCCAGGGAGGTGATGGACTCCCTGTTGCTGGCGGTGTTCAAGAAACATATGGATGTGGTACTGAGGGACATGGCTTAGTGGACAATGTTGATGGTAGGTGGATAGTTAGACTAGATGATCTCAGATCTTTTTCAATGTTACTCTATGATTCTATGATTAACCAGCATGAGGATATGGAGATATATGGGCCTATTTAGTGTGTTGGTGCTTTGATAGCTACAGCTACTCCCTAATCATACACGATGGGTAGCACAACACTGTACAGAAAAGCTTCTTTCAATTCAAAGGACTTGAGCATTAAATCTAGATACAGTTGCCTTTCCTAGTGATTCCATAGAAATGGATTAGAAAAGGATTTCTAAATCCAAGAGGGACCTTAAACTTATTCCCTAAACCCACCAACTTTGTTCAGATCAGCTCTGACTCTTGAAGACTGTGGCATGAAGGAGCTGAAGGAGGAATAACAGAAGGCAGCAGCATCCTGATCTGGGTGGACATTCCAAAGAAGTTCCCACTGTCAAAGGCAGCAAAACGCTGGCCTAGGTGAGGAGAAAGGGTCTTGGGGCAGAGCTAAGTGTAGGTTGGGTTTGTCCCCAGGAAGGAATGAACTGTCCCACTCCAGAGACAAGCCAGGTATTTTTCCAGTGCCTCTGCAAATTCCACAAAAGGTGGGGATGATGGGATGACACTGCTGGTTATGCAGTCATCCCACTTTGATTTCAGACAGGTATGATAAAAAATATTTTACATCGTACCCCCACACCAATTGCATCCTTCTTCTGAAGTCAGAACAAAAAAATAATTCAAAAGATTCCTTCATAGAGAAGAGAGGAAATCAGAGTTCAGTGAGTCATACACTAGAAATGAGCTGAGTGAAATTAATGTAGGAAAAAATCTCAGGAGAATAATTGGCAATGATAGAATTAAAAACAGGCTCATTAATGAGAGATGGCTTTTAATGGAGTCAAAATTGTGTGGCTTTTCTTACATAAAGAACCATAAATGTATAGAAGGCAGGCAGGTCGGTAGGCTGCTTTGTCCTCCGTCTGGTCATACAGGAAGGTTGACTGAAAATTGTCTAATTGAAAATTCCTCCAGTCAAATGTTAAACGTTGGCCTCCTTAAATTCACCAGGACAGCGGTGAAACGGTTAATCCGAGGAAATTTTTGGACCAGGATGAAGCATTGTGGGCTATTTATACACGAGAGCTGGAGCTGGGGTACAAGGCAGCTCCCGGGGCAGGTCCTTCCTCCCGTGTTTGAAACCTCGCCTCCTGTGGAAAGCAGCTGGGATCTCTCCAGTAGAGGGCGAGATTTGGAAACAAGTGGCTAGGGCTAATTCCTTCAGTGGAGCAACCTTCATGAGGGCTTTTAAGGCACACCAAGAATTGTGAAGTGCAATAAATTTCTAGGTGTAGAAGGGAAAAAAGAAAACACAACAGCAACAAAAACAACAACAGCAACAAAAAAAAAGAGAGCAGTGTTCCATGTCTTTACATTTGAAACAATTGCAAACAGGATACAGAGACTCCGGATTCAAAACACCAGGCCCAACATCCTGAAGATATGTCTTGGCAAAGTAGCTGAGGGGAGGGCAGGAAACTCAGCAGGAGGAGGTGAAGCAGAACAATAAGCAAGGCTAACAAGGGTGGAAATCTGACTTTTTCCCAGGAGATGGCACTAAAGGACAATTGCCTTTCAGCCAGCATTGCTCAGCTCAGAGGAAACCTCGCTGAGGGCCAAACTTCTTGGCACAGTTTGCCCTGAGATCTCTGCAAGTCCTTCCCTATCAACAGAAACAAAGTTTAATTCTGTGGTTTCAGCAAGGGATGGCAAGTGGTGAAAATTCTCCATCTCCATGCAGGAGGTAAACATGAAGTGGGAGAGATGCCAGGAGGTCTCTGGTCCAACTCCTGCTCGCAGCAGCGCCAGCGCTGCATTTGGACTGGATTTTCTCTGCTCTTTGTACAGTCATGCCTTGAAAGACCCCTGGGATAGAGACCCCAGTCTTCTAGGGCAGCCTCTTCTATGTGATAGCTGAACTATCACATTAGTGATCTTTTCTTCTTGTATCTGGCTGAAAACTCCCTCATTTCAACAGATGACCATGGTCCATACTGTCTATGCGCACCTCAGATGCCTGGCTGCATCCTGTTGGCAACCTCTTTTTCAGTACTGAAGAATCCATTAGGTCCCTCTCTCCTCTCCTCCAGCTAAACAAAGCCCGGAGCCCTGAGCCCCTCCTCACTGGTGACGCAGGATCCAGGAAGGAGCACCACCCTTGCTGAGCTCAACCTGGACTTCACCCCAAAACCACCCTGGCAGCCTGATACCTCCTCTTGCAGTGACAAGGGTGAGAGAATTCACTTCCATTATCTTCATTAACTCCATTATGCTCCTTAGGGTCCCTATTGCTCCTTGAAGAAAAATTATTTCCAAAGCTCGTTGAACACAGATTTTAGGACCTGTTTCGTCTCAGAAGAGGACAGGGCCCTTGGGACACAAAGAAAGGAGAAGGCTGACCAGACCTGCTCCCGAGCCCATCGCATAAGGGGTGAACCTTGGCCCATGGCTGGCAAAGTCTCACAAGCACTGCGTGATGTGGTGTGGTGTGGCTTCCCCCGGTCACGGCACTTCACAGGCAGTTGTGCCACAGTGCTTCCTCACAGCAGGACAAAGGACAATAGCTGTGAGGCCACTGCCATTTCCTCGGGGCTGTGAGGCTGAAGCAGCAATTAAATGCTCTGGCAAAAACAGCAGGAATGAGCTTCGTTCTGCTCCATCATTCACGGCTAGAATCAGCCAGGGATTTTGTTCATAGAGCGACTTGCTGGGCTGTTGGGGGACTGGAGTCCATTTCTGAGAAAAGCTTGAGCAAGGTGGCTCCTTCTGACTGCTCCTCTTGTACCCAGCTTCCTGGGCTTATTCACACTGCCATGTGTTATAAATGATGATAAGATGAGTGGAAGTGTGAAGGCAACCAGACACACTGCAGCACGGCTCTGAAAAGCAACACCTGCTTGCTGCCATGGCAAGCAGAAGTGCAAAGGAACTGCTTGCCTGCATTCAGGCCTTGAAATCAAACTTTCCCCAACAGCAACATCTATCCCATCCTCATGTATCCATGAGGAGGACTGGCATTCCTCTGAGAGGCTAAGAGGAGCTTGGAGAATAAGACTGAAGGGAAAACACTGGCAACGAAACAGCCTGCCGGTGCCCACAGCTGAACTCTCCTGCAGCTGTGCTGGACACGACTGCAGCCCTGTGCATGCACCCCATGACTGGGTGCTGCTGTTGGAGCGGGGCTGGGGAAGGGAGGGAAAGCCCTCAGACCACAGCTTGGCCTCACAAATGCACCGCGCCGTCTGAGGAGTGGATTACTGTCTAAGGAGCACCAATTAGCTTACTGTAATTGGTAACCTCAGTGAGAGAGAGTTCATCTTGAGGAATAGTCCTCCGTGAATCACCAGCTGTTTTATAGCAACAGCAATAGCAACTAATTACTTGCTTACTTTTTCTTCTTTCTTTCTTTGTTACAGACTTATTTTAAAGACACTGTTTGTTCAGCAGGTTGCTCATCAACATGGAGCACCAAACTTTTTTTTCAGACTGTTTACAGATCATTCTAAGTCTACATAGATGGCAACAAGGTTATTATTCCCTTAACATTGCACCATACAAGCAGAGGCTATAGGTCAGCAGACAAAAGTCAGTGGCAAGTGCTGTGCCAAGCAGTTTGCAAACTAAAGTTCATATTTACTTCTGTGGAAAGTGCCTGCATTGAATGGGCTGGATTGTGTGGTGCAACGAGGGAGCAACCATTCTGTTGACATGGATGTGCAATGCACAGAGAAAACAGTCGAGTCCTGGATAGATGGTGGGAACCAGAGCGTTGTGGTCAATGGCTCAGTGTGCGGGTG